CATTCAGAACAAAGAGATGATACTAAAAACTGCAAAAGAAAAGCAACAAGTCACATATAAAGGGAAATCCATCAGAATTACAGCTGATGGATTTCAGTGCAAACAATGAAAGCCAGAAGAACCTGGACCAAAGTATTCCCAGTTCTAAACAACCACAGATGCCAACGCAGAATACTTTACCCAGCCAAAATGTCTCTTATAGTTGAAGGGAAAAGAAAAATCTTTCAAGACATAAATAGGCTGAAAGAATTCGTGTCCACAAAACCAGCCCTTCAGAAAATACTTGAAGCAATGCAGAGAACTGAAGAAAGAAACGAGTATACACAAAGGGTAACAGAAAGAAAGTCAATGAAGTTATAACTGTGGAAATGCACAATTAGACCAAGAACACAAACAGAAATCAAAATGACAGGAATCAATACACATCGTTCATTAATAACTTTAAATATCAATGGACTAAACTCCTCAGTCAAAAGACACAGGCTAGTTGAATGGATTATAAAACAAAATCCATCTTTTTGTTGTCTGCAAGAAACCCATCTCACCTTCAAGGACAGGCACTACCTTAAAGTGAAAGGATAGAAAAAAATATTCCAAGCAGATGGTACTAGGAAAAAAGCAGGAACTGCAATTCTAATGTCTGACAAAATACACTTCAAACTAAAACTAATCAGAAGAGATAAAGAGGGCCACTTCATTCTGATCAAAGAAACAACTGACCAAGAAGATATTACAGTCATGAACTAAACTCTGGTGTACCCAACTTCATAAAAACAATACTACAGGACTTTAAGACCCAGATTAATCCCAACTCATTAATAGAAGGGGACTACAATACCCCATTGTCTCCATTAAACAGGTCAACAGGACAAAGAATAAAAGAGAGACATCTGAATTAAACAATACCACACATCAAATGGACCTAACAGACATCTACCGAATATTCTACCCAAAGCATCAAAGAACATCCTTTCTATTCAGCACCCCATGGAACTTTCTCCAAAATCAACCACATACTGGGGCACAAAACAAACCTCAACAAATACAAAAGAAAATGAAATAATTCCATGTATTCTATCAGACCACAATGCAATAAAGCTTAAAATTAATACTCAAAGAAACCCTTATAACTACACGAACTCATGGAGATTAAACAACACACTCCTGAATAGTGAGTGGGTCAAAGGAGAAATTAAGAAGGAAATAAAAGAATTCTTGGAATTCAACAAGAAGGACAGCACAAAACTACAAAACCTCTGGGACACTTTAAAAGCAGTCCTTAGAGGGAAGTTTATAGCTCTAAGTGTCTACATTAAAAAAATCAGAAAGAACACAAATAAATGATAACATTGCAACTCAAGACACTTGAAAAGCAACAACAAATGAAACCCAAATTCAGCAGAGGAGAAGAAATAACAAAAATCAGAACAGATATGAATGAAATAGAAACAAAGAAAGCATACAAAGAAGCAATGAATCCAAGAGCTGGTTCTTTGAAAAGCAAAAGACAGACCCTTAGCCCAGTTAACCAAAAGAAAGAGCAGCTCCAAATCAACAAAATCAGAGATGAAAGGGGAAACATCACAACAGACACCAAAGTGTCCCTCCACTGATGAGTGGATAATGAAAATGTGGTATATTTACACAATGGTGTTCTACTCAGTGGTAAAGAAAGATGAAATAATGAAATCTGCAGGTAAATGGATGGATCTAGAAACTGTTATACTAAGTGAAGTAACACAGACTCAGAAAAACGAACAATGTATGTTCTCCATCATATGTGGATCTTAGCACCAAATCCTTATAAGTGAGTATGTATTCAGACATAACTACAGGAACCAGGATAATGAAAAGGAACCAGGGAGGTAAAGGATAAGAAAGAATCTGAAAGAGAAAAGCAGTAGGAAACAGGTGTTACTAAGTGAAAAATGGATAAAAATGGGGTTATTTAAATGGTAGGGCAGAAGAGGTTTATGCAAGGAACCTTGGGGATAAAGGGAAAGAAGGAATTCAAGAGAGATGGGACCCTAAGAGATGGGTATTATAAAGGGAGAAATGGGGAAAATGGGGGCACTCTAAATGGTGAAATCATGGTGGAAGGGTGAGAGAGAGAGAGAGAGAGAGAGAAAGGAGAAATAAATAATACCTAGTTAGTCTTAAAAAACCAGAGGGGACCATATTAGTCCAACAACCTACTGACAAATTATGCATACATTATCTCTATATGAGTCCATGTGTGTAGCTAAAGGCTACATAACAAGAAACAGTGCCAGACAGGAGAAATCTTCCTTTGAGTTGTTGGCCAGGGTTGCCCAAGAGATTTCCAAAATTACTCAGGCTATTGCCACAGCCCTTGATGGCCTCCCAGAACTTGAAGGTAAGACCCTGCTGCCGAAGACAGAACATACTTTGGACACAGGATTTGGAGCAATAAAGCAGCAACTGACCTGTAACCATTTCTCCTGAAGGCGAGCTCTCATCGCTTTGGAGAGTGCTATGAAGGTGCCAAAGGAAAACATCAACAGATGATCCAGCACCAACCTCAATACCAAATAACCACATCAATGGCCAATAAATCAATAGCTACCTAATTTGACTAAAAGCCCACTCAAAGGGAGGAAACTCAAGTGTGGTACTGTAAACATAACCTAATAGACATGGCCAGAGTGGTCATTGATCTTAGAGAAAACCCCAAGGCTGTCACATCGATAGACTAATGTGTTTTTTTACTATGTGAAAAATATGTTCCTTATATTTACAGACAAATATCCCAGTCACCACTCATCAAAGAAGCTCATTTTGCACTGGCAAAGACTAATACCAAGTATCATAACTGGTCACACATGGACATTGTCTATGAATTACCCAGGCCTAGGGAACACATCCAATGCAACCTGTACACCTAAGTCTCATGGAACATAGAACAGGGATAAAGAAGAGGACACTAAGGAATCAGTTCTCAGTAATGAAGCTCATGCAGCAGAGGGCCAGGAACACAAAAGGTCACAAATGGCCAAAGTGTAGAGATCACGAGTCTGCTGAATAATGGTCCTTGGACAGGACCCTTCATTAAACTTCACCCACCCAGGACTCAGGGACAACTGGGAAGAAGAGGGTGGAAAGATTGTAAGAGCCAGGGAGGAGGTGCATGACGATATGGAAATAGAGTACTACAAGCTCCTGGGAACTTGCTCATATGATTCTATGGCAATGGTGTCAGCATACGTAAGTCCCATGCAAACTTGGGGGCAATCAACAGCTACTTAATATGACTAAAAGCCCACTCAAAGGGAGGAAACTCAAGTGTTGTACTTTAAACATAACCTAATACACATGGTTATTGTCCCAGACAATAACCCAGCATAGAACTGGGAAAATGAACAGCAGATCCCAATCTTATCTGAAGGAATGTTGGCAATTGATTGCTAGTAGATGAAGAAGAGCTGATCGTCCTAAAACAAGGGAATATAGATAGGCTGACTAGACTCAGTTGACGGACTTGCACTGGGGAACAGCTGGGGACCCTGACAACACAGTGGGCCTTAACAGGGATGACAGAGTATATGGGCTCCAGTGGGGAGGGGATATGGGAAGGTCCCAGTGGGGTTGGTAGTAAAAAGATGATCAAGATTGTTTGAGATGTTCTGAATGAAATAAAAAATTCAATAAAATTAAAAAAAGAAGTTTTTTTTTTTTTTTAAATTTATGGCTAGCAAACATTTTCTGTGGAATTCAAGGACTGAGGAGTAGCATTTTACTGGACCACCAAAGAAAAATTCCTTTCTGTGTTAATTGGTTTCTCTGTGGCCATTCTGGCTCTACTGACCTGAGACTTTGAACACTATGGCTCTCATTAAAAAAAAAATTCAAGAGGGAACAAATCTGTTTTTATTGTTCTCAGAAGAAAACATTAAAAAACAGATCCTGAAAAGGACATGGGTCCTTTAGTCTTTTTCAAAGAATTTGGACACATCATTTTAAATCTAAGTTATCTGTGGTGCTGTGGGTTCAAGTTTATAGAGAACTCTCTGCAATGTAAGCCCAATAAGTAACACGTCTCTTTCATTTCACTAATTCTGAGATAAGCTCAAAATTACAACAATTGAACTTGGCAAAGCATTTTGTATTTTTAGGTTCTGTGAACATTTTGGACTTTCTAAGATGACCAGTTGCCCCAGTTTTCTCATGTATGTCTGGGTTTTAGTACTGAAAGTTCTGACTCTTGAACTTCTTGGTCTCAGGCAGACAAGGACAGCTACCATCAGAGGCTTGGGCAGATTTGCCTTGTGTTTTGAGTCATCTGTCCTTAACTAAAATAATGACAATAACTGTGTGTGGCCAGGCACCTGGCCAGGTTTATCTATGTATTTTATGTTTCTATTTTCTTATAACCTGAAGCTGAGCAGCAAAAGCAAAATATTCTCAGATCAAAATGGATCTGTTTGAATCTATCTTTTGGGCATCAAATGTCTAGATAGATTGTATGTTCATAATCAAGGTCCTCATCCTCTCAGCATTTAGAAATAGGATTTGTGATTAATACTTTAAGCATCTGGAAATGTAGAATCATGTTAGTATGTATACCCAACTCTTGGCTTTTGTGGGAAGATTATTCTTGTTTATTTAAATATATTGAAAGGTACTTTTTTTTTTTTTTTTGAGACAAAGTCTCACTATGTTGCCCAGGCTGGTCTTGAAGTCATGATACTCCTGCTTCAGACTCCGCCGAGTTAGGATTGGGCATGTTGACACCAAGCTCAGCCTAAGAGAGGTATATCTTTTATTCCCCTTGTGGGGGAGGAATAGAAAACTATCACTTTGTCACTTTGTAAGACTTCCCACACCAAGCCACAGTGAAAACTGGCAATCAGTGGCTGTGCACTTTAAGGTAGATGAATGGTTTACTCTGGGCTCTAGGCCAAATAAAGGCCCTGGGGAAAATCATTCTCACACCCACGCTGGATGCATACACCCTTCAAACTCTCCTTCCTGTCCTACAGCCCCCAAATGAAATCCTTATACTCCCGGAAGCAGCAGGACCTTTCATTGCTGTCTCTGGGCTACAAGAATCAAAGAGCAAAATGGATGTTTTCCTCTGAGAACTGGCACTGCACAGAAGGAAGGAAATGCCTATTCCAATTCAAGTATGTTTTAATCTCTGGAGAAGTGGGTATTAGGGAGGGGCAGAACTGGCTAAGGAATCAGTGGGAAACTCATAAATTTTGTCTCTTATCCTGACAACTAAGGATTCTTCCTTTAGAGTGCTGCCCACCCTTTTTATTTTTCTCTTAAAAGGATTTGGATAATGAACAATCATTTTCTAAATTCTAAGTTCAAAAATCTCTCTATGCAGGAAGAAAAGGGAGTTTTCGGGCAAATCTCTAAAGGCTCGCTGAATCATTTAAAATGCTCTGAAATTTCAAGATTCACACACTCCTCATGAATTCCCCATCTGAACCTTATTTAAAGAATCAAACAAATCAGCAAGTCATTACCTTTTCTCTTTGATATGTTTTAATATCTCAAAGGGTATAATAATATATATTTGATGTCTTTTAAAGAATTATCTAGGATTCAAAGATACAAATAAGCAGTAAATGCCATTGTGATCCACTTTTAAAAACTAAGGCCAAGTTTGGCCTGAATTTACTCATGAGACTGAAGTCAGAAAAGCGGAGATTGGAGGAGTGGAGGAGAGTTCCACTAGTCAACTGACATAAATTTATCACAATGTCAGTGTCCTGAAAAGCAAACAAAAAAGGTAGATGTTGCTTCTCTAGGATGAAAGACTTAAGAGGCCAAAGGACAAACAGAATGTGCAGCCTGGCTGCTCCACTTTTGGTTCTGAAAGTGTAGTTGGTAAGGAAATGTTTTGGTTCTTAGGAGCTATATGCCAAAGCATCTAAATACAGAGTCACTTGATGGATTTCACTTATATTTTTAGGTTCGAGAAAGTGAAGTCAGGACTTTAGACATGCTATGCAAGAGCTCTACTGTTGAACCACATTCAGTGAGAAAGAGAGAGAGAGAGAGAGAGAGAGAGAGAGAGAGAGAGAGAGAGAAAGAAACACCTTCTGGCTGATTTGGTGTTCACACTGGAAAAACCAATCCCCTGTTGCTTGTTCAAGTCCAGGCAAGTTCATGAGTTCACCAACTGCCTTCAGAGTCTAAATTGGCTATTCTGACATGTTCTGGAGACCTATATTTTAGATTACCTTCATTTCAAGTTTCAGTTCTCAGGAAGAGGCCTTACACGCTGAAGAGGTGAGTTGGAGCAGAAATTCTTACAGATGTACCTTACAGAAACCTTCAAATTCATTTTTCACATTAATTTTCCCGTCAGTTTCCGCACTCACTTCATTATGCTTTAGATTCAATTTGCAAATACAATGTCGCTGGCATTTTTGAATAACTTTGCTCTCCTTGCCTCCCATTTCCGTTTCCACAGTCTCAATGACGTTATGATAGGTTCCACAGTCATTTCATTTCAAAATGACATGAACCATGATAATAAGGAGGCTCTTCATAAAAAATGGCCTCACTGTCTATTAACACTAAAGGCTTGAGTCAGAAATTTGAAAGAAAAATTTCATGATTATATGAGTTCGTGGAAAGTCATAGTGTTTTAGTAGGTTAAATAGCTCTGGATACTGGGCCTGTTTACCTGTGGAAGTTTCTGATTTAAAATCAAGTATTGGGGCTTCTTCCTTTAAAACCATCAAAAGAAATTTTGTAGAAATTTACCTTTTGAAACATGAATCTTGCCACAAATTTGACCATTCTGTTCTTTGGTTTGATCATCAGTTTGAACAGCTAGTGATCTGCACACAGGTCCATAAAAAATCATTTTTAGCAATTCATTGGCAAGATGAATAACCTCAAATTTCACCCCAGTTATTTGGTATTCTTGAGAGAGTCACCTCTTGGTTAGCACTCACCATTTTGCCTCACCACTACTTGCAGTATGAATATTTTTCTCATTCTAGAATTCAAGTCATTATAGTTGGAATCTGAATAAGTCTGTGCTAGATGGTGTTATGCAATATATGGCAGAGGTGGAAGAATGGAATGTGCCCTGCTGATTTACAAGGAGAATTCAACCTAGCAGAGACTCGAGGACACACATGCCAATCATGCCTATGAGTATGGACCGCTCCATCTGAGAGTTCTAAGCAAAGAGTTCTCTTGGCTTCCTCATCCACTGCTTGAGCAGGATTAGAGGTGCCTTTCTTATGCTTCAATGCTCCCTTATCTCCCCCTGCATTGAGAAGATGGTACCTAGCCACTCTGTTTTCTATTTGGATTGCCAGCCTGCAGTTTGTGCTTCTTAAGTGAAGTCAGAAACACTTATGTTCTTATTTTTATCACCTATTAAAGTTTGTGATATATCTAAGACTTTGAAAATTATTATTGCATCAAGCAAATGGATGAATGGATGGATGCATGCATGAATGGACGGATGCATGCACGAATGGATGGATGGATGGATGCATGGATGGATGGATGATGCATGCGTGCATGGATGGCTAGCTGGATGGATGCATGGATGGATGGGTGGATGTATGGGTGGATGGATGGATGTATGGATGTATGGATGCATGAATGGATGGGTGGATGCATGGATGGATGGATGCATGGATGCATGGATGGATGCATGGATGCATGGATGGATGGATGATGAATGCATGAATGAATGGATGGATGATGAACGGTTATCACAGAAGACCATTGTCTCTAAATTCTATGATTGGAATGACATAAACTTCAGGGTTTGGAGATGCAGACATTAAATCACCATGTGAGGACAGTGAAAAAGAATCTGATTTATTGCTACTTCTCATTAGACACAAAGTGAAAATAATACCAAAGGAAATCTTCATGTCTGCTACCTTGACCTTAAAATTTATCTTCTGTATTTCTGATTGATACTCAAATTGTGGCCTAGTGTTATAGTTTTCTTACCAATTCTTCTGCCTAGGACTAGCTTTATCTTAGGTCAGTAATTCAATTTGGGGCCAAGAGAGTTCCTCATTTATTTCTGCAAGTTAAGAAGGACACTTTAAGCCTCTTACTCTTTAGTAAATAGAAATAGAGTCCAGGTTCAGTGGGCGCAGTATGTCCAGTGCTATAAATGAATCATGAAGGAGTCTTTAAAAGATAAAGAGCTTAGAGCTGGGCATGGTGGCACACGCCTTTTATCCCAGCACTTGGGAGACAGAGGCAGGTGGATCTCTATGAGTTCAAGGCCTGCCTTGTTTACATGGTGAGTTCCAGGACAGCTGGGGCTACAGGGAGACCCTGTCTCAAAAAAGACTACCACCACCACCACCACCATCACCACCACCACGTGAGTTCCAGGACAGCTGGGGCTACAGGGAGACCCTGTCTCCAAAAAGACTACCACCACCACCACCACCATCACCACCACCAACAACAACAAAACCTCAAAGTCCATGTTGCTTGAACTGGATGGGGAAGGATGAACTCACTTCCTCACTTTCACACTATGTGGGCTAATAGTAAGGTTATCTGTGCAATATATAGTCAGTTTAAATGAAACATCAAGAGGTTAAAGCTATTATACCACATAGATCTTGGTAATCAGTACCAATAAGTGGCAAAAAAGATCCTTTTTCTTAGTTGAGTACATGTTAAGTAAATGGCAGTTAGCATATGAACCCCCCATTGATGAATTCTTTCTCCTCCATTTAACCACCGAGGTGATTAGAGTGGCAGCTCCATGCCAGAATGATAGATGCTCCATGCAACTCTGATCCCTACAGCTCTGTAGTGCCTTTTCCCTAGTTTACAGATGGGGGGTGGACACCAAGTCTAAGAGAAGGTTAAATAAATTGCCTTGGGTCGCATAGCTAGCAAGAGTTTCCTGGAAATTAAACTATGCCATAAATATTTGAGCTTAAGTAATTAACAAAACGAATACCTGAACATTGACCTAATCAAGGAATTTAGTGACAGAATGTGCCTGACAGGTAGTTGGAGAGCTTCCATGTAAAGCCATAAAATAGGAGAGGTCTGACTTCAGTATTTGCAACTATTGAATGGTGTTTAGTACCTGATTAAGTCACCAATATTTCTACCGTCCTACAAGTCTAGTCCTAGTGAAATAATATCAGATTTATATACCTCAATGAACTTGAGTTTTGTTAGCTCTCTAAGGGACATTAGTCAGTTTAGCTTTCCTTTAATTGTTAATAAAGTATTTTTACTATGTTATGAGCATCTCTTATACAAGTTAGTAAGAGGCAATTATATTTTGGAAGGCCTTATTGCACATGAAGTTCTATCTTTTAAAGTGTGACTATAGAGTATGTTAATTATATTGTGTATTCATGGACTATGTATTTACTGAGTACCATCTATGTGTCAAGCACTAGGCTAGTTACAAAATAGCCTACATAATGTGCAGGTCCTAGTTCAAAATAAATGAAAATGTGGAGCCTCTTGTTTGAAGATTAAGAATTTTAAGACTGTGGCAGCAGAGTATTAACTCAGATGTGAAGCCCTTCTGAGCTCTTATAGGTGACTGCATAGATCAGGTATCCATGAAGCTGGACCTTGTTAGGTGATCAAATAGAACAGTGAACAGAAAGTGCCCTCACCCTCATGGAACTGAGAAACGGATTATAAATCGACAGTCACTTTTAATTATTTAATTAATAATAAAGGCACATTAGCAAAGATAACTGTACACTAATGTAAGTGTTCCAATGGGAATGAAAAAGCTCCTGGAGATGCTTCATCAGAGGAGAGACTCGGCCTAGGCTCAGGGAAAGCTTTCCAAGAAGTCACATTTTGGTCTTTAGGGACACCCAGAGAAGTTGCAACCAAGGGGCAGGAAGTGGTGAGTGTGAACAACAAAAGACCACAAGAGGGCCAGGAACATGCAGCCACACCTATTCAGAAGCTGCTGTGGAAGTTGGAACTAGATACTGTAGTGGTCCAGCTGGCCATGCTGGCCAAGGCACTGGGAGGGATGGATGGCTGCAAGAGGTGAACTCTTTGGACAAGTAGAGAGGAAGGGAAAGCAGGAGATGGCTTGGGGGCTTCTGGTTGAACTTGTATGAGCACGACACTGCAAGAAGTTTGAAATAAAGGCAGAGCTATATTTTGCTTGGCCTGTCCTTCCTAGCACCATTCAGAAGATGGGTAAGACTCCGTGTTTTCCAAACTCATCTCACTTTGGGGTGAGACTCTCAAGGCAGTAAGGAAGTTTTTGGCAACATGGCTTATGGCTTTGCAACAGAGCTGATGCATTCCAGGAAAGATTTGCAACCTTGTACAAATGATACAAACCTATAATATTGACACAAAGCAATATTTAGATGACAATTAATTCAGTGTTTTTTTCTTCAGTTTCTTAAACAACTCATCACTCATTCTTCCAGCTACACCTGACACAATTTTGTCGATGCAGCAAAAGCAGTGATGGTCTTGTTAGAGGTTTGAAGACTCTTCTTTCTCAGTCGGGGCTGAGCTGTTCTGGAAAGTCTGGTAGGGAAATGAAGCACGATAGCCAGACCCAGAAGTTGGACAGTGTTCTCGCTCCCTTAAGGGTCAGCAGTGCTTTTGTGATTGTAAGCTTCCCTAGGGAAGGGAGGTCAGGCCTGGAAGATCCCTGGAGATCTGAAGGTCTAATAACATGCCATTCTTGTAGAATTTTCTAAAGTAAAACTGGCAACCGTTACCCAAAGTTTAATAATCTTCTACCTTGACATAATTAACATAAACATTCATAGTAGAGCCCTCTCAGTTATTTGACTGAGGCGTGAGAAGGTAAGTTCCAAGGGTGTTGGACTAACGCGGCGAGGTTCTCTCTTCTTATCGCTGCCCTTTCTCTCCTCTGCTTGTGCTCCTGGAACTCCTGTTTCTTCTCAGCTAGCCCCCTTTTGCAGGGGAAATACAGAATACTGTATCCTTCCTTACCTGCTCAACGGATCATCTTAACTTGCTGTCCTTGCCAGAATAAGTTCTTTTCAAGACCATGCCTATCACACTAGGAACAAATGTGCTTGTGGTTGTGACATTTCAAACTGTTAATGCATACTGTGTCACAACAAACAGCCGGCCTTAGCAAAGCCTGCCCAAGAATGGCTTCTAATATGAGGTACTTGTGTACCAGCTGTGTACAGAAGACATGCCTTGTAAATAGCTACTATCTTAAAAACTACCAAGGACTCAGTACTAGTGATTTGATGAATTAATACACTATGTAATCCTATAAAACTCTCTTCCCTCGCTGACCTTTCTGCATTTCTTTTAAGCTTAGTTCACAAGCTTTGTGTGACAGTTCAGTATTATACATTATCTCCTTTTCTGTTCCCTTGCTGTTTTATGGGAATGGCTCAAAGTTAGGTACCAACATTAAAAATGGAAAAGTGAACCAAATGTAATACTTTCCTTTAAATAATTGATGCTTGACAGTAGAGGAAGCGAGTTGTGCAAACACTCATAAATAAAACAGACCTGCATGAATATTTTCTTTTCTTCTACATATACATAATTCAATCATGTTAAATGGAATTGGAATGCTTTGGGATTTGATTGAAAAAAGAAAACAACCACCTGAATGTTTCTTTGTTCTCTGTGATGCCAAGAAAGTGATAACCAATTCTACAAACTGATTTCCCCTCAGTGAGGAAAGTTCTTGTCTCATTTAATTGTTCAAATTATTCATCATATTGATCGAAATGCATTCATGAGCATCTCTCATTTGAATATTTTTACAATATTCGTAAAATCTTCCACAAGAGAAAGGGAAGTGATGCTCATTGGTTGATGTTCTCTCCCACAGGACCCAGGGTCATGTTTTGGACCTCCAGTTCTGCAGCTACACAGTAGATGGCGCTGTGCTACACAAATTCCCTGGCCGCTAGGTCCTGCAGGGCAGTTGATGGGGAAAGAATGAATCTCTGGATCTACCTGCTGTTTTTTCCAACACAGGGGAAGAGGTTGTTTAGGAAACGCTTTTTTCACATTTAGTTGGTTTTGCTGAATCAGTAAGCTGTAGTTTTCTGAACTACACTGACTCCAAAGAACCTTAAGCTTATTTAATTTAAACCTGAAAAAACAAAACAAAACAAAACAAAACCCTTTAAAACCCTCTTCAACCCATGGCATAATCTTTCAGTTATATAATGGATTGACCTCTCCATGCTTCGTAGTTTATTAATTTTATTAAAACTGTCACCATGGATAATGTGCAGATAAACATTCTACATATTTCTTAACAATGTGCTGGACGTACCTGGATTTTGTAATTTGACTTTTAGCATCATGGGAAGGACACATCTAATTAGGTGATCTTTTTGTTATTTTAAAGCATTTTTATATTTTTGCATATTAATTACCTTAAAATTTAATAATTTCTTAGTA